AAGCGGTGGGCATTTGGTTTGCTCTACATAACGGGAACTAAGTTTGTTGTTGTTGTTGTTGTTGTTGTCACGGTGTTGACTTCGACCTTAATAATAATAATAATCATCATCATCATAAGGCTGACAGGTGCTTGTGATCAGCCCAATGTAGTGTGCAACTCCTCTGTCCATGCTACCACGTGGCACTTGTGTGACATTGTCAGCCGTCTACAAAGGGACAAAGCAAAAACTCATCAAATAGTTACTGTGCATTTATGGCTCCTGCTCAGTTTTTTTTGCTATTCGTAGTTGGTGGCAGCGCCGTTGTGTTTTTTTATTGTTCTCTGTTGAGTTGAGGTTTCTGCAGTTGCGCTTATTCCTGCACTGAATCCGTCTTTTGCTCCAAGTCATTGTTTTGCTTTACGATGCGTTTCGCCATTAACAGCTCTACGCTTGCAGGCCCACACTGAAGGTGCAAACAGCCCCCGTTCGTACGATCGATTGAGTTCAGACTATAGGCAATGATTAGCACTACTGCAGCCTTGCATAGTTCAATGGTGCTAACGCCGCAGTCTGTTGGCCACAAGCGGTTACTTCGTCGGGAACTCATCTCTTCGCGATGACGGACTGCTATGTGAACCCTTCGTTGTTACCGCTGCTTTTGCTACTGGCCATTCACTCACCATTGGTTTGCGGCTTTCGACGTCGTCATTAATGCTGACGCTGGCTTGTTCGCTCTTTGTTCCGCCATTCAGCAGCTCGGCAGTTACCCAGCCATCCAGCGGGGCGAGCTTACGAACCCCATCCAGTGAAACTCGTACGGCCATTACACATTATCATCGGCGTCACCTCCTCGGAACATCACACAGGCCGAGCTCAACTAGGCCTAACGTTACCCGGCCGCATCAACCCAACAGCAAGTAAGTAATACTACACTATATGGCGATGCTGGTTGACAGCCGCGCTAACAGAAGGAATAGCGACATTTAGCTGTTAATCATCATCGGCGATTTCAACAAATGCATTTGAATGATAAAGCAACGTCAAGAGCGAACGCGACAGTTGGTTCTCCAGCGGTTGTAGAAACTGCCCGAGATAGGGGCCTTTTTAGCGGTCGGTAGTGTCCTGGTCATTCTAATATGAACGGTGTGACGCGATACGTACCCCAGACGCTGTACTGTGCTAAGTGTCCACGGCAACGGGGACAAACGAACGAGAGAGCAAACGACCGATCCACAAGGCCTAAGCGCTTTTATCTGAGCCGGAGATCTCTCGGTGGGTGATGATGTGATTCCGGCTGTGAATATCGCCAAGGCTGAATGAGGCCGATAGAATCACTAAGGCCTCAAATCGTCATCTTAACAAATTCTCATACAGAAGCAGCAACATCAGCATCAACAGCAACAAAGGTAGTCAAAGATGTCGGTGTACGGGAAGGTCTAGCTGGCTAGTTAAGGCGATGAGGCATGGATTTTTAGATAGCAGTCTGCGTCGCCAAACCAGCTAACATGAGTCAATCGGTAAGTGTTATTGGATAAGGAAAATAATCGATTTCCCTGGTCAGTGATGAGTATTGACAAAAATAAAATACACCGAGTAAGATAGTGTGGGCGAAGCTTCGATTAACATATTGCTGTTAACAATTAACTTCAAGGGGGGGTATCACGGTGTCATGGTTTTTTTTACTACTCTTTGTATACATATTATACTGCATATGTATACATGCTTAGCACGCTGTTGTGGAAGAACCGTCAGAACGCTTCTACATCGGTGTAACCTATTGGGTAGAGAAATAGCTTTAATCTTAGCGACAGATACTACATTCGGACCTTGACAGGTGTTGAAGGATACACGCAAATTGCACCAAATATAAACTCCATTCTAGATTTGAAGCACAAATTAGATTAGTCATATAAAACAAATTGAATTCCTGTCGGCATTGATAACAGCTGTCGAAAATATGGCAAAGGCTGGTGAAGGTAAGTAATGATTTTATAACCCACTATCTACTGATGTTAGTCTGATAAGCTAAGGTCAACTGTTCATCTGTTGGACTTTTGGCCAAGCCTCCCCCTGGCTAACAAGCGCCTGATTTTCTGGCCGAAAGCCCCAGCACGTTGAGTTTTCGAAGGCTGGTACTTTTACTGTCGACACTGCTACTCGGGGGCTACGTAAATCTTGCGCGTAACTCAGGCCTGTTAGCCATCGCTTATCCATGGCGTTGCCTGACGATCGACTCTATCGGAGCGCCATATTCGTCACCAGAGCGACATAGAGACTTGGCCATCGTGACATCGCCATCTTGATACACAGTAACGATTTGATCATACGACCACGTCCAGGCAGCACCACGAAGGAATTGTCATTTTTATCATGAATGAGTTACTGGTATGTTCAACTAATATGTAATAGATATTATTATCAGATAGACAGATCAACTCCACTTAGAGCTAGTAGTTCACATAGAGAAAATTTCTCCAACTTACCTTGAAAATACAAATACGAACTATTTAACAAAGAAACGAAACCTAAATGCGCAAGCTTGTATTAATTAAAACCATCATGGAAGCAATACGGTTGGTCATTCAGACATCTGTCAATGCGTTTGTTAGCTTATTAGATACACAGATCGAGGCTTTCCCTCCATTACAATCACAATTATTATAAGAGCGTACCGTCATTTCAGCGTTTCACCATAGCCACATAACAGTCGGACTCTGTAATATAACCCGGGTACCCACCGTTTGATAAGGAAACTCCCCACCGCTCATGCCTATCTACTCAGGTCGCGTGTTTTACGACGAATCTATCGGCTGCGTGCTACATCTGAGACAACTCAACGTGCTAAAGTGTCCACGGCTATTCCCTAATCATTCTCTCACCGGTTCTGTCGACACTTTTGGCAATACACTTTCAGCAACTCCTTGCTCCTGCTGCTATTGATGATATCACCTATAACACATGAAGCATACTCCTCACGCCACTACTGAAGCCACTGGCAACTGTTAACGCAGAGCTTCTGTGGCACAGCTGCCGCCGCAGCGTACGAACCCCCTACCGAAGCTTGGCTGACTGGTAATGCGCGCTTAGTGGTGCGGCTATCGTACGTGCTTCCTGGCAGCGTTGCCCCGCTGTTACAGCTGCAAAAGCAGTAGTGTGGGAAGATAGGTGGTCGACTACCCCCAAAACCAGTCGAAACTGTGTAGTAAGAAGGGAGAACGATGAGCTGATGAACCATCTTCACTGCCAATCCCTGCGTCGACCATCGACGCTTCCTTGCAATTGGTTATGAGCCGCTTACCATCGCCGACGCTAAGCAAAGCGACAACCTCTGCTAACAGCCGTGCGGCGCAAGCGGCAAACGAGAGTTAACGAGCTGTTGAACGGCGATGGAGCTTAGCCATATCTAAAGATGGGGAAAGCGAACTTTGCGTATGGAACAGTTCTTTGGCAAGACAGGCGACAGGTTGACGAAGTTCGTGTAACGAGTAAAAGGGATTCGACGAAGATACATAGAGCGCGTTCGTAAGAAAGACAATTTCGATGGGTACGTGAGTGCAATGGTCGACAAAACGTAGAGATTTTTATCGCTGTTTCGATAACCTCTAACGGACGACTTCTTTAAGCCGGTCTGCGCGATCTTCGGGTTTTTCTGGTAGAAAACATCGTCTGGGAATGTTTTAATGCGTAGCAAAATAATACCAACGCTTCATCTGTGTTTATATGGGAGCGCGGCACTTGTTGTCTGTCCAATCTACGGCGGGCCTGTATCGGGCAATTTCGGCAGTGCTTAGCCATGTTGTCAGATGTCAACTTGAATCGTCGCAGTTGTCGATTTACACAACAGTCGTTGTTCCGGTAGATCCTTCTACTGTGGTAGATTAGAATATCTTCACTCATAGTTCTTTTTTCAACCCGCCTAGTATCTCGATGACGGTGTCTTCTTGGCAAAGGCAACAACGGCATCCGTGCCAGTGCAAAGCGACGCTAGCTTTCGAACAGAGCAAATGGATAGTGCTTTCAGACGCAGCCTAGCTCGCAAAGACAGATTACTCGACGAAGACACCCGACTTCGGATTGGGCATTTGAGAACTACTCTGCGACAAACTTATAAGGTCAGTGACACCCGAAGACCGTGTTAAAGTAATAATGGTCATATGTAATTAGCCAATGAAAAAAGCGTTTTAAAAAAATCCCTAATATACTGTGAATAGACGTCGCCGTTAATGCCCGAATATCGTGTGCTTACATCACTTGTTTCAAATGCACAAAACAAGCTTGAAGCAGACTGATGTGTTCCTCTACTTCATCGGCTAGAGGCAGCCCTCCGCTCAGAGCGGGTGGCAGACTGCGGGGATTAAAAAGGCTCAAATTTGCAGACATTTCCCACTTGTTACAGGCCGATTATATAATTCTCTTGTTAGCTTTTCGCCTGCCGCTACCGCACCAAGATGATAGCTCGCCAAAGAAGAGTTTGTCATAGACAAGCATGCGGAAACCTGCGAAGTCCTAAATCATCTTAAAGCCAAATTTTTCCCTAACGACGGAAACGACCCGCCCGAAGACTGCTTCTTAAGAATAGCTCGAACTGTATCAGCAGTAGGACCTCGATTTCAGTGGAATGTCTGAAATATATTTTCCTAACGCCTAAACGCGCTGTGCTAGCGCATTTCAAGTTTAATTGGCGTCTCCCGATCGGAGACCATAGCTGCTTAGCTCTAGGAATATCGGCCCATGTGCAGTGTCCATGATCTAACAGAATTTGCAAGGAGGAAAACTTAGGACTTGCTCAACAAACTAGGCCTAATAGGCGACGTTTGTAGACTTTAACTGAAAAAGCTTATTGGTTTCATTCGCAGGGGCATGTTCGATGCGTTTCAGCCTCGACCTCAACTAGTTGCGAGGCTGCCATCTCGCGGATACCATCAACATCTCTTTAGACTATGGCTAAATACGGGCGGAGGGAAGGGGTAAGAGGGTGTTGAGGGCAGGAAGGGAGGAGAAGTGTGGGGTGAACTTACAAATCCGTGCTTGTCGGAAATGTTGTTGGTTAGCTTGAGCTTGTGGAATGAAACCACTTTTTGCATCCATTGTTCGCCGGTAGCCGGTGAATCGGGGTGAATGTACATCCGCTTCGGCATTTCGGGGTCCGCCTTACCGGCGATCATCCACCGTGAATTATGGAACTTATATCGACAGTCATCTGCGGCAACGATGTCCATCAGTAGGATGTACTTCGCTCGCTTGTCCAGACCTGACACTCGTACTTTAAACGCTGGGAACATTCTCCTGTAACACATAACACCGGCGAAAGAAGAAGACAAATCAAAATAAGCATGTTGTTAGCAAAGGGATAGCGCAAGCTATATAGTGTCTATTCAAAAAAGCACCGTCGAAGATGCATCTGTCAACCAAAATGGCAGGAAGAATAACTGTTTTTGACCATTGCAGCCAGGCGACGCCACTTCGACACAACTGTTAAATGTTGTACTTTAGTGATTTTCACTGACCGCCAGAAGCTGTACACTCGTGGGTACACGTGTCTATCAGCAAGCGATATGGCATCTGCCTACGACACGTACAAAGCACCGCGTTCGGCGCCCTATCGTCACAAATAATGCTACACATGGCCTAAAGTGGCAACCATATCTTACCTATTTGCCTGAGTATAGTGTATGTGTTCGCTCGAAGCCATCACTCCTCGAAGTAAGGTGACCTTCCATTAGAAGCGAATCGTCATGGAGCAAGATAAAAGAAACCATTGCTGAACGAAGCAGTCGAACAAAGAAAGAGATTTGCAGTAGGTCAGGAGCCTCAAGCAGAAAAGCAGATCTTCGACACTGCGCGATTATCAGGGAGCTACAAACGCACGTGAGCCCCGCGTGGCCAGCCCTTCCCAGCTGTTCACCTCCTGACACCGAAATGTCGTAGGGGGTAATTTAAAATTTGTGATTTCGTCCTATCCGTTCCTCTGTGCTATTTCTGCTCTGTGCTTCAGTGTCAACTAGCGTAGTGCTTTTTCTCTTCGCCACTGTCATATGACAATTGTGGGCTGGTCTCGTTTACTGTGTTCGACCTGGGTTTGCCCCAGTCCTAACACAGTTGTAGCCTGCCTGCCTGCCTGCCCTGTTCCGGTTATTGCTTACCAGCCGCACCGACTCACCCACTATTATTCGTCCCTTATTTTAGAAGCAATGCTAATAGATGGGAGACACTTTTATAGTGGCTGTTATGGCCCCCCTTCCACTCTTGATTATGCTGTAGTCGTGTCGCTGCTACTGCTGCTACTATCGCCAGAAGCAAGCGGCTGGCTCAAGTCCACTCAGAGAGACACCTCCACATAAATGGAGACGGCGATAACAAAGGCAGATCAGCGTGTGCGCCTTTTGCAAAAATGCCACTGCAATTGTTGACACAGCAGCCACACGGCTTGGTAATGCTACCATAGTATCGAGCACAGATCAGTCGTATTCAGAGAAACTAATCACACCATGATTGCTAGTGAAACAGAAGAAATAACGGCGGGCGAGGAAGCAACGCGTACGCCTGGCGATAACTGGTTGGTCTGTGAACAACACCGATGGATAGACAGATGGGTGTGAAAAAAGAAGCGAAACACTTGGCTTGACTGGCTGGAACAGAAATCGTAATCCGGATCGACGTAATCTACGAAAGGGAGGCAAAATAAGGGAAAGATGGAAGCAGCTGCTCGTACAGACTTCGCCACGATCCCAAATGTCTCGGTTCAACAGGTCAGCATCTATGTATAGTGTCAGATGTAGTTCTGTGGGAGCGACTCTGAATGCGAGCAATTTGCCCGTGCTGTCGGAGATCAGTTAAAGGCAAAAAAAAGATGGCCGAACAAACGAGCTCATTCGCCTACAACGAAGTAGATCTGTCCCGTTTCTTACCTGCAGGAACGTATTGTTTTTGTTTATTTAGTAGCAGGATGAAATGTTGTAGTTCAGCTATAACAACTGAGACCAGTGTTATTGCATTGCGGTATGTCATGCGTTAGCGGATAGTAAATTCGCCTACCATCTAATACGAAATGGACTGTTATATTTTTAGTATTATCGGCGCGGTATTCTTCCACTTTAAGTAGGCCCCTTATACATCCTGCCGTCACAGTTGGCACTTCTCGGACGACGGAGTCCGACTGCCTTGAGTCCCGCAGTAGGACATATACCTCCACGACTTCATATGATAAAATAGAGTGCGTCGAAGTCGGTATGGTCTTATCTCGACGTATTGATAAGGGCGATTTACTTCATTCTGCACTAATCATCGTTTCTGTCGTCATCCAGATCTGCGTAGTCCCATAGAATTTGCTGCAGTTAGTATTTTAGGAATGTCCACCGTCACTGTAACGCGGTAATTTATGGTAAATAGGCATCTGAAATGGCGTTTAGAAGTGCAATACTGCCAGACTCACTCCGACGAAGTGTCCAATTAGACCGCAAACAACTCCACGACTAAAAGCTTCGGAACACGATTGCATTTATGATTGCCGTCCAGCTCTGACCGTTTTACCGATTCCGCGCTTACGAATTGTTGATGTGGAATTGCTGGGTGTCAGCAGCTCACCTCAGATCGGGTGACGTGACCTCGTCGACGTGAGGGGGTGTAGCGCCCACGGATCTAACGATCCTGACAGTCGGTGCACAGAATGACTGCAGTCGTCACACCAGCTATTTCGAATAGCCGTTTTAGATAGGAGAAAGCATACAAACAGGACGGCCCTTTTGCTTTAACGCCCCGTGCTACTCATACTGTATAATATAATCCAACATCGAAAATCGAAACATAATATAGATCTATCGGCCAGCTTTATTAAACCGGCATCGATGTTTACTAAACTCATGGAACATACGGCAGTGGCTTGATTTTAAAAATCGTACAAGTCTTTATGTATGTATTACGGAATAAACATGCAGTGAAATAATGAAGGACCAATGTTGCTCATGCTATAGGGGGTTGATTCTTTAATGACAGCACGGACGAGATAGACGCTGCAACGATGTTAAAAAATCTTGACCAGTGCTATCAGTTCCCTGGCCATGGTCGCCGATTTGGCCGAGATACTGGCTGGCGGTAGCAGCCTTTGACCCGGCACTGATATGGAGTGATAAACGGGTATCGACAAGAAGCTTTCGTTGGATAATACAGTACTTGATCTACGGCACGAGCCACTAATACTAAGGCACATCGTTAACAACGTCGAAAAGACATCTACGTTAAACATCGTACAACCCGAAATGATTGTGCTTGATCCGAGCGGCTGAATTACAAATCTATGGATAGAGCCTTAGGAAAGGAACTTAAACATAACCTCAATCAAAGAAAGAACAATCAAGGCACTACCCAATATGCGCAGGAACGGACTTCATACGTGTAGAGTGCTTACACACCGGCATGGCTGGCACGGATAAACAAAGGCTTATAACACATCGATTTGGCAACGAAAGTTAATCTTAGCCGATAAGAAACGTTAGATGTTAATGACCGCAATGTATGACACATAAAAAAAAACAATAATTAGTTCTATAATACCTTCAAAAGCATGATTACCTGATAGGTCTCAAATGAACAAATATGGTCTAGAAAAGCTACAAGAAGTATATAATCGCGGCCACAAACAGCTAAGCCCGCAGCTCGTTTCCTCTTACAAGGTATTCCGGATACGTATAGCCGTACGTATAACTAACTACCGTCGGTTCCACCTATCTGGTTCTGGGCTTGGTTTGGCAAGACGGCGTTGAGATGCAATCACTGATCGCCCCTCCTTTCTCTACTTGATATGTCGCGATTTTCGTTGCGAGATTGTTGCTGCTTTTAACGCTGTCATCGGTGGTTGTTGTTGGTGTCTCTGGCACTATCGCTCTTTTGCGCTATTTTTGTGCCTGTCAGACCGACTTCCAAGTTTGCTTGGCCCTACTTCAAATCGCTAAGGGAGGCCAGCCAATTGAAGCTGTTTGAAATATCCAATGAACTATGGGCACGGACCAGGCAAGAAACGAGCCTGGTGTTGAAAAAGTATCAGCTTGGCAGCGCTAGCAAAGTAAGTGGTCGACCCGATAGGGCCGACCGCTGAACGGATCTCTGGAGGAGTGAAGGCACCCGGTCGCAATGCCGAAGAAAGGGCGAGCAAGGCATCATCCTGCGTTGCGGGTGGACGACCTCGGAAAGCGAGCGGCCTAGGAAAGAAGATCTCGCGCGAGTGACAAACCCCACTTAGGTGAAGCAGTGAGGCTTAAACCAACGACACGACAACGAACCGTCTCGAAGGGAGGAACCAATCAAAGACAGCCAGACGAAAAGGCAGACCGAGGGCTCAAGCACATTGAGGTAAGAAGAGCGCTTCGGTGAGCCGTTACTCCCGCAAGCCGTCCCAGACTCCCCCAGGATCAAGGAAAGGCGCAAGAGAAAACGAGGTGGAAAAGCAAAAGACGACGACAATGTTCGTCGCCGCTGGTTTGAACTCATGGGCGACTTTAATCAGAGCCTGCCCAATAAAAAAGGGAAGAGGCGACAGCGAAATCAGTCTCAGTCAAAAAAGGGAGCGTATAAGGTGCCCCCTGTAGCAGGCAGCAGACTTCGTTCCTCACATACTCGTAATAGAAAGCACGGACGATGTCGGTGAGCGTAGGTATATATTATTGTCTCTTACTAATACTGCTTCGGCTGGCTAGCCTGTAGACGCTGATGAGAGGCTTGATGCTCAGACACTAGAAACCAGAGGAACCTCAACCTTCGCATCGGCATATAAACACGCAGAAATTCAGATTGGCCGCTCACACAACATAGTCAACAGCACGCAAAGTAACGAACCGACTTCTCACGAACGTCGGCGGCGCTGGACGCCGATGGACCTGTCATCATTTCTCTTTAGTCGACATTACTTAGACGGATCGTATCCGCCCAGTAGCAACAACGATAGATTCAGTAGCAATGGCGACTGTACAACAGTCGTGTCGACCTGACTTTTCCTCTCGATGCTTTTTTTTTAGTTGACAAAGCAGAAAACTATAACATATGATAAAAGCTGGAGGCAGGCTAGAAAAGTGGCTATGAGTGACGTCGCTAAAAGGAGGAAAACAATAGCAACAACGAGCTGCCGAAGTGCACTTAAGTTAAACAAACTGTCAACTTTTGGCAGAAAGGGCAATATATAGGGAGCTACAAGAGAAGTTGGAGAGTCGCTGCTATAGATATTGCAAATTACCGGGTGTTCTTGCGACTCCATGACGCTTCCACGACGTCTCGAGTAATCGGACCAGCAGCAAGTC